AGATACTTCTGTTAAACAAAATAATGTATATTTTGCTCTTTCTGGTGAAATGCTGGATACTTCTTCAGGCCTCTACAGATCCTTCAAGTTAAACAATCAGAGAAGGAAAATCACTCCTTGGTTGAACTGCTCACAATTCATGCATGCATAAAGGCCATAATCTGTATATTTATGCTTGTGACACACAAGCATAAAGTAGTTCATTTTAAGGCGTCACAAGCGGTTAGGAACCACTGTGTTCTTCCCGCTTTGTGGCAGCATTTTTCAATAGTCTTTGTTACTGTATTCATTCATTCAGGTGTCGACAACAATGGAGAATGGTGAGGATGGTAAGACAGGTAAATCTGAGCCAGTTCCTCAAACACAACAGCTGTGCCGTTTCTTCTCTCAAGGAAGATACTGCAGTTATGGGAAGAAATGTAAATTTCTACATGTAAGAGATGACGCCAGTGCTCATGAGAAGAAAACAATCAGGACACTCAGCCAGTCAGACGTTACACCTCCTCCAGCTAATAACACCAGGGCTGCCCCAGCAGCTGGCCGCCGCCCCTGTCGCTACTTTATCTCAGGCCACTGCTCTATGGAGGACAGATGTCGCTTCTGGCATCCACCACAGATCCCGCCAGTGGACAACATGCCTGTCTCTGGCAATCAAACGAGACCCGCCCAGAGGATGCCACCAGTACCCCGCCCCAGCATCCTCCAGGAGATCAAACTCTGTGATCTAACAGAGGATCTCGCCAATCAGTTACGAGACACAGAGATCAAGCAGTTGAAGAAGCGTTTTCCTAAAGACCAGCTGATTGTTCAGGAACGAAGTGATGGCAAACTTATTTATTACAGGGCGACTGTACAAGCCACTGATCCAGACTGGGTATATATCGTCTTCTACCTTCTATCTCCACTTCTCTGCTGTGAGCTCAGAGCAAAAATCCACATACATATTGTCTTTATAACACAAAATGAAACTGTATCGAGTATTGCTGTTGTTCAGAGACAAATACTGAACCTAACCATTGATTAAGAATACAACCATTATTCTAACCCTATGACAGCACTCACTGTGTAATTGTTAATTAGCACAGGAAAACACCGGATTTGTATCATGCACCACAGAGATTGAATTAATCCTGTTTGTTAAAAGAGAAATGGGGTAAGGCAGTGATTAAAACTGGCTCACTTGACAGCAAGTAATTGGAAAGTAAAATTTTGGTATTACACTATTCCCTAATTATAATTCTAAGCAACTGACCCCAATATAGGGTAAAACATAGCCAGCCATTTGATTAAATACATTATTATCTGGTAAAATACTGACCTTCTGCATTCTGACTTACAGCCTTTTGATCTGAATGAGATTGACATCATGGTGAGCTTCCCAGGCAATTACCCACAGGAGGTAAAGACCACCACTAAAGATTCTGTAACATATTTAAGTAACTGACATAAACAAAACTGTTCCTCATGACCTTGATACATTGTCCTTAGATTTTCACATTGGATATACCATTGGATCAGGATCTGCCACCAGTAATGGCAAGGTAAAATAATTTCCAGTTTATTTTGATATTTAATGTTTTGAATGATTGCTGTTGACAGTAGACAGTTGCAGTCATTTTAATAATGTTTCTGCCTGTGCAGACATGTACAACAAGCATCTTTGGACTGGCTTCAGGCCAAGCATGCAACCAATCAGCTTCTGGGAAAGATAGAACTGCTCTTCCGCCCTTTTCTTCGCTGGCTGGATCGCAGTTTGGAGAGACTGTTCACTGAGGGAGCCAGGCAGGTGAGACTACCAGCTGTGTGAACAGCAGATGATTGTGAATCTGTCTTCCCTTTGAATTTACTGAGCTGTAAATAAATGCTTTAAATATTTTACTTAATGCTAATTATAACATTTTCATTTTGAAATTTTTTCAGTTGAAAAAAGACGTTGACTTAGAAAAGGCTGGACTGCAGTTTATACCGTACCAGGAGCTCCAGGCAACAGTGTGCGAAAAATCAGAGAATGATCACTCCTCTGATCCTGCCTCTGACACCGCTGCTGCTGCAGATGCAGATGAGGATGCCAGTACTGAGGGAAAACTGGAAAAGACAGAATGTGAGAGGTCAATGGAGGGAGGAAAGCTATTGCATCCAGGCTGCGATGAAGAGCAGCAGCAGGAGGAGGAGGAAGCTAGTCATCTGGTGGAGAACATTAAGATCAGTGATCCCCGCAGAGGCACAGAGGTGAAGGTGCTGGGACTGAGGCTGGGAGAGAACACTGCCACTGTAGTCGCCCAACAGATTACAGTTTGTCTTCAGTGTAATAGGTAAGGAAAAAGAACAAAAATATGATAGCTTAAGATCTGATCTTCAGTTGTAAAGCGGACTCTGTGCCGTATGTGTCCTGTCTGCAGGTGTAAGGTAACTGCAGACCTGACACTCACTGGAAGGACAGCCTGCACCGCTCAGTGTGAAAAGTGCAATGCAAGCATCAATGCTGCATTCAGGCCCTGCATGCTGCACCATTACAGTGATATCCTGGGATACCTGGACCTCCACAATGCTGCACCTGCTGACCTCGTGCTTCAGGACTGTGATCTCGTTTTGGGCTGCCTCTCCTGCTCCAAGGAGTGCCCTGTGCAGGTAATGAAACATGTTCTGGTCATTGCTGTACATGCTTTTTTTTTTTTGTGTAAAAGTCAACATTGTGAAATAACACCCAAAATAACTGCAATACTGTTATGTTTTGATGAGCTCTGACCTTCTCTGAAAGAGCTTTCTTTTATTTTCATTTTTCAACAGAACCTTTCCTATGGACAAACAAAAGAGTTTAATTGTGAACACTGCCACAGCAAACTCAGTATCCTGGCTGAGAGCACAAGATTCCAGTATATTCAGCCACGCACCAACAAACTAGGTCAGAGCTCACCTACATTTGTTATCAAAGGGATCAGTTAAGGTTTGAGATCTTACAACAACAAAGTACGACAGTTGGCTCACTGTCCATTTTCACCATACATTGTTATTTGAAAAGCTACACTGCAAGAAAACCTTTAAATTTGAGAATTATATATATATATAGACAAAGAGTGATTTTTTTTTTCCCTTTGTGCAGGATCAAGCACTGTTAATTATAAGACAGTAAGAGACCCTGCTGTGCAAAAGGGGAAGCCACTGCCGGAAAAAGGAACATGCAAACATTACAAACAGAGCCATCGCTGGTTAAGGTATCATGCTTGCTGTGCCCTATTTTTTTTCACGTGACTGATATCTGAGCTTTGAGAAGTTCCTGGAGAAGTTGGTGAAAGCTTTGTACCCATGTTCTTAGGTTTCCCTGCTGCGGCCGGGCGTACCCCTGTGATGTGTGCCACGACGAGGACCAGGATCACCCCATGGAACTCGCCACCAGGATGATCTGTGGCTACTGTGCCAAAGAACAGGTGAGCTATAGACATGACATGACTTTACATTTTAGGCCTTCAGCTAATACTGTTATCCAGGCTGATTTGCACTCAGTTCACTGAAGAGAAGTATAATATCCTACATCACCTCCATTCAAAGTAACACTAACAAAGAGCATAAAGGTCGGCGTCACAGCTCTCTGCCAAGAATTTTTATTTTTATATCTTCTGTATGCTGTGTTGGTTTACATAATTCACAACCTTACATTAATCTCCAAACCACAGACATAGGCTGAAAGTAAGTATTTCACCTTTTTCTATCATTGTAGTAGGGAATATAATTTAAAAAATGCACATCTCAAACTTGTCACTGGTAAAGTAGATAAATGCTGCATATTGAACTAAAGATCCAGGAACGGAAACTTCGAGGTATTCATAAAAGAAGTCAGAAGTTATATCAGGTGAAAAGGAGAAAAGAAGAGGGGAAGAATTGATTGGCTCACTTAAATTGCTCATTAAAAAAATACAAAGTTTGGTTCCAGCTGGAAACATGAATGCATAAGGTTGATAGTGGGTACATTTTTTGAATGTAATCTCCACCATGTTTGTTGTCGCAGCCATACAGCAATGGAAAGTCTTGCATCAGCTGTGGCAGCATGATGACGAGAGGCGCACGCAGCAGCCACTGGGAGGGAGGACTGGGATGCAGAAACAAAGTGAAAATGAGCAGGTACATCAGAAAACATAAAAAACATTTAAAAAACATTGACATTTCTTTCAGTGGTTACAAGGTTAAGAGTTTGTTTTTCTTTTCTCTTCAGAAATGATCGACAAAAATATGTCAACACCAACAAAACGGTTTCAAGGAAGGCAGCCAGTGAAAAGAAGTAGCTGGTGAAAAAGAGCACGATTGCATTAATTTGTGATTTATGATACATGAACCATGGTTTCAATGAAATTTTGTATTTACCCAATAAATCATGTTGTTATGATCATTCAGTGTGAGTGTGATAAGTGTTCATATTTTGAACTAATATTTAAAGTCTCAAGGCTTATCGTGGATTGAGTTGGAGGACTTTGTACCCTTGTGGGTCTTACACACTGCTTTAACTTATCTATGGATGAACAATAAAAGAAGTAGAGTAGTAGAGTTGTGTCTGACAATCAGCATGAGGTATCCAAAGTCACCTTTTACATGCAATGTGAACAGTTGCATCAACACTTTTTTAATTTTAAGATGATCAGAATTTTATATAGGACAAAATAAGAATCTATTCTGAGCTGGAAATATTGAAGAAAATGTGCTATATTTCACACTTTCAAAACAATGTTTTTGCCCTTCTTCCTTCCTTCCTTCCTTCCTTCCATGCATAAAAATGTTTGACCCTGTACTGGCTGATAAAGTGAGTTGTGTCTAAATGCATGTTCTTGAGTGCTTTTGTTAATCTTCTTGTGAAGGTCTTTTTGTCAACACTGAGCTGCTGGGGGAAAAACAAAAAGCTGCTGGTCTGTTCCGATTGGGAGCAAAGCCCCTTCTGTTGGACTCCACTATATAAAGGCAGAATTTTGTCTTGATCATGAGACTTGCAGCAGCTTGCATTGTACCACAGCAAGATGTTGAACATCAGTGAGCTGCCCCTGAAGCTCCTGCCCTCCACGGCCTCAGATCGTCTGCTTCAGCCTCTCTGGGATTATCTGCTTTTGCACCACCTGCCTCTAATTTCATCTCCTTTTTTCCCAGTCCTACTTGCTTTTTCCAGCTATTTCTTCTTCAGTATGCCGTTTGCTGTACTGGATCTCTTGGGAGAAAAAGTGCCATTATTGTATCAGTACAAGATCCAACCAGACATGCAGCCAACAGTGCAAATGATGGCTAAGAGCTTCTTTATAGCGCTGTATAACCATATCTTCTTTGTTCTCCCTGCTGTAATAATTAGCATGTTTATATTGCCAGCACCAACTCTGCCACAGGAGGCTCCCACTCTGTATGAGGTATTCGTTGATGGACTGGCTGCACTTCTCCTCTTTGACACTCAGTACTATATTTGGCATTTCATACATCACAAGCATACACAGCTTTACCGGTGGATCCATGCAATCCACCATGAATACATAGCACCTTTCTCGTGGTCGACTGAGCAGCTCAGCATCCCAGAACTGATGACTGTCGGACTCTGGAGCAACCAGGACCCTATTCTTTTAAAATGTCACCCGCTCACCACGTGGTGCATGACGGTTTTCAGTATCTGGATGTCTGTGGAGGACCACATAGGCTATGACCTGCCATGGACCCTCAACCATCTGGTGCCGTTTGGTCTGCTGGGTGGTGCACCAGCTCATAACATGCACCACCAGAGGCCGAGCAGTAACTACGCTCCTTTCTTCAGTCACTGGGACATAATCTTTGGCACTGCTGTTCCTCTGAAGAAAAAACTGTGAGAAGCTGATAACAACAGAAAGCAATTCTGTACATACTGCATGTGTAGTGTTTTTCCTTTGTAAGTTATTGTCAGAGCTATTTTAGCACTGTCACATTCTTTATCTTTCTCAAATCAATTTCCATTATTTTCTTTATCATATCATTATCATCATATCATTATTCTTTATTTACTGTTGTGTCTTTAATTTTATAGCACTTGCTGCCTCCTTGCTGCTCCTCCTGGTTTTCTTTGTGAGGCAGCTTCCTCAATGGATTAACCTTGCACAATACAAAATAAAAGTCAATGAAAAGTGTATTTTTATGGCTATTCATTCAATAAAATTATATTTTGGCTCTATTTCTATTGATGTTGTTTCTGTGATATATGGAATATAAAAGTTATATAAAAGTTGTGCCATTCAATACATTATTCCCCGTGCATGCTATGTGTGCATAATCACACATCAATCAAGTCATTCCAGTGAGGTAACCAACAGTAATTTGTAGCTTTTCTCACAATCTTCTTACATAATACAAAATCTTTGAAAGACCTTTTCGCAGCAACATTTCCCTTACAAACACACAGGAATAAGGAGCATTTGAACAAGAAATCCAAGAATTGTTTGTGAGGCTAGTCACCTCAAGGTTGAACACAACACAAGGGGAATTAAGGCTAAGGCTAAATACTCCGTTTGGACTGAATAAGGGGCTCCAGGCTGACAGGAATGTGGAATTCATTACAGAAAATGACACAGCAAAAAGTAGAGGCATGGGGATATTAGAAATGTACATGGAGGCCTGGACTGGTATTTAATATCAAAGTTTTGTCTCGTGTAGCACGTGAAGGTTTGACAACATAATTTGAACACAAGGTTCACTTATCTGGTGTTTTGTCTTTGTGATGACTGAGCAACTCCATTTGCTGAGGAAAGCTATGTGTCTGAAAGCTTTGGGCACACAGGTTTATTTGGACCTTGAGATTAGATGTTTTTTATCAAATCTGTTTATGGTTTCTTCTTTTGGCTTTTATACACTGGGTTCACAGATATGCTTTCACAGCTGTCCTGACTAGAAATTCATTAGTATTAAGAAATGAGTGTAATTTCTTCTTTGAAAAATGCATTGCTTTTGATATTTCTGACCATAAATGTGTGTAAATGAATCTAAAATGGTCAACAACACAAACAGTCAATTAATATTTAAATATATTTATTTGTCACAAAAAATAAAAATGCCGATGCCGATGCTATATAATTTCAGTGAAGGCTCTTATTTAAATACTGCACAAACATGTTTGAAATTTGTCCTGTGTTCTCTGTTGGGTGCATCTTGGTGTAGCTGATGAACTGGCGGCGTAGTTTCCGCAGCTCTGCCATGTTGATGCTCCTGGTGAGCTCGATGTTTAACATCAGGTTAAGGACATTTGAGAACTAGTTTTTCAGTGTGCAAGCTGTTCTCCCATGACGACGCAAACAAGTTTTCCACAGTAAGTAACTGACCAAAGTATCTGAAGGTCACAGTGACACATTTCAGTCTTTACGGAGGATGACACTATGACATAACACAAAGTGCTGAATGTTACAGACATTATTTCAAATTCAAAGTATGCGCCTGTCACTAAAGACTGACCAGTGCTGAATTTAATGTACTTTTAAATTGGTAGTTTCTGCTTGGAACCAACACGTTCAAAAAGGAGAAAATCAAAGTGTTTTCTTCTGAGAAAGCCCAGCACATTGCAGTTGCCAATAAAAAACCATTAATCTACGTCATTTGGTTTCTCTCCACAATACACATCTCACACTATGTTATTACTGGAAAGACCTTTAACAGTGATTGGTTGCTCTACCTTTCATTTCAATCCTTTGATGGACATGCATGGACATTTTTAACAAGTCATTTGATGTAAAGCACCTTGCCTCCCACTGGTGAGGTAATATGACTTCCCTTAGGAGGTAGATGATGAAAATGAGTCACCAGAAATAAAGAGAGGCAACAAGGAATTTCAAACAGTCATTAGCTGTGATAGACCACGGCTACCTGGATTTGTGACATCACACAGGGCTGCAAACATGAAAAAAGATCTACCAAGATTTGTTGAATGTGAAAAGAAAATTGAGTTTTAAATAACAATGTGGACATGTAAGGAAAGGATATCTTTTCTGTAGCTCCTGGAACTGAAATGAGATCCCCAGGAACACTTGTCTTCTGGGCGTTAAAAATTGCCTGGAATTTGAAATGATCTTTGTCACACATACAGACAACAGGTAACGTTCCTACTGACAAACAACTTCCCGGGTGCTTTGGACTGTAGGGAGTTCAAGAGCAGCAAAGTGAGATCTGCACAGTGCGTTATGGACTTATTCTTCAAACTATTTGTTTCATTTACAGGGAATTTGTGCAAAAATATTGCAAGAATGAAAACATTATTGTCCATGTAGACTTCAGTATGGAAGAAAATGCAACAAAGAACATACTATTTCAGGCTACAAACAGGTGGACACCATGGTACATCAAGGGAACAGAGGAGGTAATTTCTTATTGGCTAGCAGCAATTTGCAGACACATAACATCAGAGACACATCAATAATTTTATAAATAATTACAGGAGAAAAGGTATTTACACAACAGGATAAACAACCACATAGCAATTATTAAGTAATCTGGACATTAGCCATTTGAAGAGGGACATGGGTGCATGCAATGCAAGATTAAGACCAAAACTAATGCTTTCTTCTTCTAAATTCTTTAATTTCATGTGATTTGGATGGTGGACCTTGGAAAGATTGCCACGTATATAATCTGCAAGGATTCATGTCATCGGACAGGTAAATACCTATTACCTTTCTATGCACTGAAATGTCTACATGGAGTGAAATGTTTGCACTCTTGTGGAGGTAAACCTGCAATTAAACCAAGTATTTTTCAGTCTATAGTGTGTGAGTCTCACTTTGGTGCTCACTGGCACCAGCAAAAACAATATATCAGGAGGAAAAACCCTAAGTGACTGGAAAATGAACAAATAATGCAAAACATCTGATAAAAACCTACCATTAACACATCTTGTGTGATCTTGTCCAACTCATACAAGAAGTTTGTGGATGACAGCGGTTGCTGCGGAGAAACACAAGGACCTATTACAATCAGGCAGTCAAAAAGGTAGCATGGCAGAGAATACATCTACATGTATAGAATACTGTATGCGTGTTAAAAAAATAAAATAAAAGCATGTGTATGTCCCTTACACTCTGAGTAGACTGGTTAGGTGGGGGTGCTTTTCTTTTGAAAAGCACATCAGAAATGGCCTCAAATGAAAGTGTGTCATCTTTCAGGATGGTGAAGAGAGGACTGTCCCAACGGTTTCTGGAGTCTGGAGCTTCATATCTCAGAACTAATGCATCAAAGCTACAAAGGACAAAATAGATATAAAGCAAATTACAAAAACTATTGACAAAAAATACAAAAAATGATTATAACTGTTGACAATGGCCAGCATAGAAATATTTCTTAACACTAAGTCAGTCTTATCACAGGTTAACATGCACCTATACTGTGTGCACAGAGGCTTCTCACTCACATGTCCTGTGTGTACTGCTCAGCAGCATCTCTGCTGGTATTCCACGATGAGCTCTGTTCATCTGATGTCAAACAGTATACCTTCATCAAAAGAAGCACAAAGATTTTGACTTGTGTGATTAATGTATTAATAATATTTTTAGTTTAACCTCCAGTCAGATAGTAACTTATTTAGAACACTTACCAGGCAGTGTGGTGTCTGTGCATGTTTGATGAGGCAGAACAGTTCATAGCGGTAACCTGCAAGGTATTTCAATTTTAAAGGTGAAGACAAGTCAGTGTTAAAATAGAGACTCTGCACAGCATACTAAAAATAATACGATTTACCTTTTATGTAATTTAATGAGTCCAAAATTACAATGTCATCCTTGTTGACTTTTCTAAACGAACAAAACAAAATAAATAAATGTTGAAAAGGCAGAGACAGTAGAACATCAATGATGGATCTACATTTTGAAATTGATGAAACCCACCTCTCTACCTCTGCTTTCAGAGCTGCTCTGACATTTTTTTCCTTTTGGGAATCTGCAAAATATCCAGCAAGATAAAGTCACTGCCGAGGTCTGCCAAGTCCAAGGTTACTTTGTAGAAATCCTTTTCAAAAAGCTCTTTGATTGTTATCAACTGTTTAGCAAATGCATCACACAGGACTGTGCTATTGTTTGGTCACTGAACAACTGAACAACAACTTTTTTGAGTCTGTTATATATATATATAGGGACAATCTATGCAGTACTGTGTAGGAAGATCATGAATAACGCAATTAACTTTAATTGGAAGTGAAAAGTCTATAACTCCTGATGTCAGGCCAGAAAGTGGTGAGGTAATGATCATGTGAACCAAATGACAATATCTTCAAAAGCTGTTTGAATAATTTCATGCTACACTCCATTTAAATAATGTAATATACTGTTTCTGATATGTTAAAGGTCTTTTTTGTTGTTGTTATTGTTTTTTGCAAAGAGAATATCGACTATAATCTTGGTGGATGATATAGTCTAATAGGTGGAGTCTTCCATCATAGACCAATGATGCAGACGCTTGAACGCCAAACTCCATTCAAAATATCACTAATTTAAGGCTGCTCGATTCCCCCGATACGCACATTTACTGCGTTGGACGCAAATGGAAAAACTCGCTTTAATTTACTTTCAGTCAGCGGCACATCTAACAACGATCCGCAAACAAATCTATTTTAATTACAGATGATCTTTTTAACGAACAGGTTCACGTCACTTCCCAGCTAAGTTAGCCTCAGTTCACGGCGAGGCTGGCCATCCAGAAGCGTGAGATATTGCGTTTGAATTAAAGAAAACAAACGCACATGAAGGGTTTAGTGGATAGCTAACATGTAAAAGTAGCTCCCAACAGCACTGTATTCACAAAAACGCAACAGCTACATATACATAATACCTCAATGAAGATAGACGCGGTTAGCTTAACTTGCCTGCGTAAACACTGTTTTTCTCAAAGCCCAGAGCTCCATCTCCCACAATATGAACCTTTCTCTCTGTGTTCTGTTCAAAATACACCTTCAGTTCTTCTGCCCGTCGTGTTTTACCACTACAGGGGTAACCACACATCACTATTAGCGGCATGGCTACTGTGTATTATCAAATAAACTACCCGGAGATGTGAGGAAAAGCATGTTTCCACTTTCACCCGGATACAATAACTAAAACTGTTTTTTAGACGACCAACAGGAGGCGCCACAAAGCTGATA